GTTTTATCAGTCTGTCCTCCGCGAAACCCGACACCCGCAGCCCTGAAGAACTTCCCTGACCTTGGTCTGTCAATCACGCAAAACAACCAGCCTGCTAGAGCCAGACGGGCACTTAGCCAGCTCCGAGAGAAAGAATAAATTTAAAAAAAAAAAAGAAAAAAAGAACCCCCCAAACAGCTGGTAACGGTTATCTTGCAAGCCCTGGCTCATCCTAATAACATATCTTGCTTGCCCACCCCAACACTGAGCGCTCCATATGGCAGCAGCGCTCAGCATCTCTGGAAAGTCTTAGGGTGATGTTGCTCTCTATAGTCCAAAAAAAATGTCCTTTAGTTTAAGATTCCCCTGTTTTGGAGTCAAAGACAATCAGTTTTTTACACTCTCCAGGAGGAGAGAAGGGAGGGGGATGTTTAAAATAGTGTATTAAATACTTGGCACAGAGAGACTTTTGTGTCAGTAAAAAGTTTTGTGTCAGTAAATGGGGGGAGGGAGGTTGTGTTGCCAATTGTGTTTCCTGGCGGAGTGTCTCGTTTAATTCTGGGGCAGCCCTCGCCAGGAGTCACCTCTGCCCCGGAGGGGGATGCGATGCTCTCTACAGCTGTTAGCAATAGCTCTTGCAAAACTGCGAGATCAAACCAAACAATACGGTTTCCACTGAAGGGAATCGTCCTCCTGGGCTACCCGAGGCCACAGCTTAACCATGGTCCGTCTGCCAGATTGGGCTGCAAGAATCACGGGCCCTCCCCGCCGCACGCCGCGTTCCTGGGGGTGCGACGCGACCGCGCAGCCCCGCGCAGCCCCCGCGCCGGGGCCGCCCGTTTCGGCACCCTGATCGCGGCAGGCCCGGGGCTGCAGGGAGCGGCTGGAGGTGGGACCCGGGCCCGGCCACAGGTATCCAAGCAAAGCGGGGAGACATCCAAGTCTTTGGGGTCAGCTCGTCCCCTCCTCGCTCCGTGGAACCGCGGGGGCCGGGTTGCCTGCGCGGCTGCGAGGGTCCCGGGCGGACGAGGGGCAGCGCTCGGCAAGGCCAGGCCGGGATGACCCGGAGGAGCGCGGATCCTCCCGCACTGCGCGCACTGACCCGCACACGCAAAGCGGCACGGCCGGGCAGGGGCAGGAGGAGGACGGAGGAGAGGAGCCGCGGAGGGAAGTTGCTTTGTCCCCACAGCTTCTCCCTAGGGCTGCCCAGGACGGGCTGCACCGTCTCTCCCCTTGCCTTCAAGAAAGATTTTTTTTAAAAAAATCCCTCCTGCCCCCGGCAGCTCTTCT